CTTGAGGAGCAAATGAATGAACTAGCGTGGCTTAATACTTAGCACTTGAAGATTGCAGGATTCGAATTAAAATACAATTAATGCATGAACAACTATTTTATCTATTGCATAAGTACACAGAGGAGGGATAGAAGAAGATAAAGTACCAAGCTGAATTGTATGCTTTGAATCATGCTCTTGGTTGGAGGCAGAATATGGGAAATCCTTGAGGGCTTGACGTGTAGATCCAGAGTCATTTGGTTGAACGAAGGGCATGGCAAGCTAGTGGGGCAACCACTCATTGTGAAATCCCCCGAACCAGCAGAAGGCGCAGCATCTGTAAGTAACTAGAGAGGATCTGAGGACACCGCAAGGTCATTATAAAAGAATGAACATAACCTTCCACTCGTCGCAGAGGGGCTAAGGACCAAAGATCTGAGCAATAACCATCTCTAAGATTGCATTCATGCCGAATAGTCCGCATCTTTACACCAGACGCAAGTGTATTACATCGTTTCATTTGCAGAAGGTTGGGTTTGCGTTCACCCAGGCAACCTCAAACAGACTATGAACTGTAAACTAAAGTCATTGTACGGAGATGCTTTTTCAACAATTGGCGGGACATTAAGCGGATAAAATGCAGATCCCAGCAATTCCTACAGTAGCCTGCATCATGGAGCATTGGCAGGTTATTTTCATACTGCTGTTAATCTGGAGAGTACATCAACAGACTCTGCGGCCGGCGCATAGGATTATAAATCAGACAACGTGCATTAAAAACATTATAACACAAAATGCGACGTTATGCAGTGAGGAGGTTTCACCGATGACAGGTGGCTCTGATGAGATTGTACCACTGCCTTTTCTCTGTACACAGGGGACCAGTGAGGTAAGCAGTCACCAGAATGAATGCATGACCCTATAGGTTACTGGATGTTGCACACAGCATAGATAGCAAAACAAGCGATGACGCACAAATAGTTGTTTCCCATGTTTTGATGCGGACTGCGTCACACCAGCAATGAACCTCTCTGGAGTTTACTAGCGAGCGACCCGAGACCACCTCTTTTAGCGGAGCAGAGGTATCGGACTGCTTCCACACCAATCCAACGAACCGCATCAAGGGGTTAACGCTACAGGGACCGATTCAATAGTACTAACCAAGCAGGTGTGAACGTGACCTAAGACTATGGTGCCTTAAGGTTTGAACAGAAAGGCTAGCGCTTGTTCCTTATAAATATAAAACATCTCTTTTAGAGAGACTACCAGTGGGAGACCATAATTGAAGGCAGTAATCAGTATTGAATGTATTACAAGTCTAATATGTAGTATAACGTAGAGCACTTTGAACATTTGGAAAGGCGCTAAATAAATAACATGAATTGTAATTATGGCTGTTCTGATGCGGGACAGCTTGTCTGGTGGCAGTGAAGCTTGCATCAGCACACTATCGAGAATGATACCGATAATTCTAGACGTGTGGAAGGGCTTCCAGTTCCTGTTCTGAAAGAGGTAGGCCTAGCTGTTGAAAAGTTTTATCTGGGAAAGTTAACAACTAGGAAATGGTTAAAAGATGGACACCAAGGGGTGCTTACAGGTGTTGCAGAGAATCCAGCATAATGCTTCTGATGAGGTGTCGAAGAAACGTGGGCTACTATGGAAACCAAATGCACATTTGATTGTAAAACCTTAAAATATATATGCCACAGAAGGCATATGGGATGTCTGCTTTCCCTGCCATGTCATCTACAGAGCAAAGAAACGGGAAACATCTTTAGTAGTTAATAATACTCTTAACAGAATAATCGTGAGGAACTAACGGTTCAAGAAACGTTGCTAGAATAATTCCTCCTAGCACTAGGCTAGGGGCCTGTCGTGTTTTTAAACGTTTAAATAGCAGCACGTGTAATACTCCTGGCTCCTTCAGTGCAAACTTCAGTCTTGAGTGCAGGTTTCAACAGACATGGGTCCCTGGGAGCCAGCATAACCTGCTAAGACACCTTGATTTAAGCCTGTGATAAGGTCATTTGACGAACATCTGTGATTAGAAAGAGCTTGGAAACGATTTGCAGCATGTAGCCTCCTGAGGCACACCCAGCGAGGGGCAGAATATTGCAGGTAGAGCTTAATTCCTGTGGGGAAAAACTCTTCTTTGGTAGGTGATTAAATGTACATGGCCGCTTGGCAGAGAATGATTCATGGTATTCATAGAAAAGACACTGTAGGAGATTGAAGTCTAAAATTATGGTCAAAAATGTATCGAGCTTCCCTTCATATTCACGTGATGGAAATTATTAATTTATTTCCATTTTCATTGATTTATAGTAGTATAAATACTTATACACATACAACTTCTGTATAATTGCTTCAAATATGACCTACTGCATGCCAAATATTTCCATAATAAAACATTGCTTATGCAGAATAGTATTATATACCTGCCAAGATGCGATTCCTAAGTAATTGCTGCTGCAGGGGGCAGGAAGCTAGAACTCGTGGCTGGATCTGGGACTCCAATTCCCAGAATCCTCGGGAGTGTGACGTCAGTGGCACAAGTGGATGAACGCGGAAGTAGAAACATTTGTTTACATGCAGGCAGAGGAAATCGAGTTTATTCACGGGAATATATCGTGCAATTAAAGGCTTCAAGCGCTGATGTTTACTTCGAGAAGGTAGGACAGGGAGGCAGGTACTTTGAGAATGCCGGAGTCAGCTTGCTCTTGCCTTTTTTGGTGTTTAATTACCCGCCGACCGAGAGACAGTGCGACTCTTAGCTGACACACAAGAAAGGGGTTGTTACCGGAGCTGGCGTAGAACTCGGGACTTCCACTGGCCCAAAGGATATTAAAAGCTACTCCAGATGAGTACGGAAGGGACACCTGAATGTGTGTCGTGCGGGAGCTGTGGCTCGTTCCAGCGGCGTCTGAACCATGCTCTGAGCTATCCTGTGTTTCGGGAATGAGGCATTTCTTACGGCTTCTTGCGTATGATGATTCGGTTCCAGAGTCGGAGATTGCAATAGACATTTGCAAGGACAGCACCGGCAGGCAAGCAGCAGCGACGTAGAGGTAGCTGCAGCAATAGCAGCAGCAAGCAATGCATGGAGAGAGATCTGGCAGGTTAAATAGAGCGGCGTATTGAGGAGACTCTGTTTGGTTGGTTGTAGAGTGGCAAGGGGACGTTATGTATGAATGCAGCATAAGTGCTCGAGTTGACTGCCTGAACTAGCTCGCAGGCTTCGCCTCATTCCATGGAATATGACAAAAAGTGTTTCTGAAATAAATGACATACGCCATTGAATGATGACTGAAGATCGTCAGCTGTCTTCCTTTCCCTTGTTGTTCCTCGATACGTAAAGGCTGCAGCACCTTTTACAACTTCTCTCTACATATCAGACATCCCGGTAAACCAGCATCGTTTGCTGTGAAAGCAGATAACTCTGTCCACACAGAATTACATCCTGTGTTCCTCCGATACTTTTCTTTGATGTATCCATAGTTCGCTCATCGAGCCGGGGGTCAGGTTAGTCGCCTGCAGGAAAAGGCGCTCGCGCGGGACCGTAGCAGGATGTGATGCATATTTTAGCTCACCTAATTAAAACCGTTTTGTTTTTTATTTATGTGTCAAAGTATCACCTCAAAATACAATATACGAAACATTTTCAACCAAATATAAATAGTCCTACAAATACTTTTATTTTATTTCCTTCTTAGTTTTGTCTAAACTCAAGGGAGCCAGCGCAGAGGGCTTAAAGGGCTGCATGCGGCTCGAGGGCCGCGGGTTGCCGACCGCTGGGCTTGGGGCTGAACCTGTCCTGCATTGGAACTTTTCCGATCATTTCCACAGGAGGAGTTCGCAAGAATGTGCTTAAAATGCATGAAAAACGCCAATTTTTCAAAATGGCCAACTTTCTGGGGTGCGGGGCTAATGAAAAGCAATTTGAAATATGTGTGCAATCATAATAGCAATGTGTATACAGTAGGGATGTAACGATACCAAAAAACTCACTGTACGATAATATCGCAATAAAAAGTCCACGGTACGATATTTATCGCGATATTGAAAAATAAAGGGAACATTTTTTGATTTTTTAAATTTTTTTAAACTTGAATTTTTTTTTCTTTATTAAATGATAAATCTGATTTGTACAGCATTTTAGTAGGACAGTAGTATTTTAAAGTGTCAACAATATAATAATCAGACCCTGCAATAGAATAAATCAAGTTTCACTTTAGTTTTTCAAGTGACTCAACTCTAACTCACAAACTCACTCACTCAGCATCATCAAGGTTATCTTTTAGGAATATCACGCTCATCACTGCGCAAACTTCTGTGACCGCAGTTTTAATTATTTATATTGTTGTTTTTTTGTATTACTATAATGACATTAACAAGTTGTGCCTTGGAAGTATTTGTTTACTTTAATGTTGACCAAATCGTTTGAGACCTACTGAGCTAATTTAGACTAAAGTGAATTATCTAAACACTGAGAGTACTTTACTTCACCTGAGCTGTAGTTATCAGAGCCTCTCAGTCTGAGCTGTAGTTATCAGAGCCTCTCAGTCTGAGCTGTAGTTATCAGAGCTTCTCAGTGTGAGCTGTAGTTATCAGAGCCTCTTAGTCTGAGCTGTAGTTCTCAGAGCCTCTCAGTCTGAGCTGTAGTTATCAGGGCCTCTCAGTCTGAGCTGTAGTTATCGGAGCCTCTCAGTCTGAGCTGTAGTTATCGGAGCCTCTCAGTCTGAGCTGTAGTTATCAGAGCCTCTCAGTGTGAGCTGTAGTTATCAGAGCCCCTCAATCTGAGCTGTAGTTATCAGAGCCTGTCAGTCTGAGCTGTAGTTATCAGAGCCTCTCAGTGTGAGCTGTAGTTATCAGAGCCAAGCTGTAGTTATCAGAGCCTCTCAGTCTGAGCTGTAGTTACACCGAAGGCATTGATTAGGGCTGCAAAACGACTCAACTTGTAAAGGTGATTAGATTTTAAATTCTAACACAGTTTTTCTGACTGTGCTTCCTGTTTCCTGCAGACGTCCAGCAGCTGGTGGTTAAAGAAGAGGTTTCCCCTGAGCAGCAGGAGTGGAGCTCCAGTCTGGACCAGGAGGACCCAGAGCCCCCCCCACACATTAAAGAGGAACAGGAGGAACTCTGGATCAGTCAGGAGGGAGAGCAGCTTCAAGGGCTGGAGGAGGCTGATATCATTGAGTTCATCTTCACTCCTGACCCTGTGAAGAGTGAAGATGATGAAGAGAAACCTCAGTCCTCTCAGCTTCATCAAAGACAAACTGAACACATGGAAACAGAAGCTGATGGAGAGGACTGTGGAGGACCAGAACCAGCCAGGAGCTCAGATCCAGAGAGACATTTACAACCTGAGACTGAGGACAACCCTGGAGACTCTTCTGAACCAGAGGCTGAGGACAACCCTGGAGACTCTCCTGAAGACACTGAAGACACTGAAGACAGTGCTGATTGGAGCGAGACCGGAGAACCTCAGTCAGGTTCAAACTCTCAGGAAAATAAACAAAAGCCTGTCAGCAATTCAAGGTGTAGTGCTGGAGAGAAGCGCTATAGAGCGAAACCATTCAGCTGCTCAGTCTGTAAGAAATCTTTTACAAGGATATCTAATTTAAAGTACCACATGGCAGTTCATACTGGAGAGAAACTATTCAGCTGTTCAGTCTGTGAGAAATCATTTCCAGTGAGAGGTCAGTTAAAGAGTCACATGACAGTTCATACAGAAGATAAACCATACAGCTGCTCAGTCTGTAAGAAATCATTTAAACAGGGAAAAACTTTCAATAGACACATGAGAGAGCACACTGGAGAGAAACTATACAGCTGCTCAGTCTGTAAGAAATATTTTATACTGAAGGGAAATGTAACAATTCACATGAGAGTTCATACAGGAGAGAAACCATATGGCTGCTCAGTCTGTGAGAAATCATTTACACAGCGTAGTAGTTTAAATAGACACATGACAGTTCATACAGGAGAGAAACCATACAGCTGCTCAGTTGTAAGAAATAATTTACAGTGAGTTGTAGATTAAAGAAACACATGAGGAAGCACCAGAGATGAAGTACTCGAGTCCTGGACTCAGACTTGAGTGCCGATTTTCGAGACCCATGACTCGACTCGGACTCGCACACTGATTGACTCGGACTCGAACTCCTACTCGTGAATTCTCGCACACGATGACTCTGACTCGGACTCGTGAATTTTCCCCCCCCACGATGACTCGACTTGTACATTGACGCTCCGACTCGAGCAACTTTTCTCTGGAGTCTGATGTCCTCTATCCTGGCGTGCACCGGTGAGGCGAGTTCACATACTGGGCCCCGCTGTTCCAGTCTAAAGATGTCTAGACTCTAGAGACACACCCCGCATCGTGCTGTATGCTTTCACACATTCTGCTTCCACATTGGGAAAGAGCAGCGCAACATGCTCGTTATGTGGAAAAAAGTTTGAAGAGAAGGCTCCGTAACACATTACTCTAAGGATCGAGTTCAGACATATAGGCTGTCTTGAACACTATCATCAGAGTAACGTGATCCTATCAATAAATAAGGATTCAGCTGATAACACGAAAGCACATGGCTACTTAGCATGCAGAATGATGTCATGTTGCATGTGAAGTAGCCATGTGCTAAGTAGCATGTGCTTTCTGGGGCTTAATCTTTATTGGTATCATTTAAACATTCACTATAATAATTGTAGCGTCCCGGCTGAATGATGGTCAAACTCTCTAACCAATGGTATCTGTTTATTGATCACCCTTGCTTGTATACAATCACTACCAACGATTAATGAGGAGTTCTTGAGTGACTGCGATTGAAGATCTGATAGTTAGTTACTGGTGAACAGACTGGGGGGTACTGTATTAATGAATAATGTGTTAATGGTTAGTGAATGAGGAGTTCCTTTGATTGAAGAACTCCTGTCCCACCTCCCAAACTTTCTTTTTAGTTGTGCATTGTTATTTGTGCTTGAGAAACATTCCACTTGAACTTTATTTCAATTAAATTAGTAATAATTATTGTCCTACTTTTTTAATTTGTTTTACAGAGTTTTTATTATTAATTCGTTTTTCTCTTCTTTTTTGAGAAAGGAAGTGATTATTTTGTAATTGTAAAAGAACGTGTAACCCAGGTTATGATGCTGTTGACTAATTTACTATGTTCCCTGAACGCCACACTGACAGCAGAGACAGACATGCCGTGCGTAAATCACCAGACCTGCGTGACTGTAGGATAGCGATAAGGAAACATGGAAAGAGTGGACGTTATTCCTCCTCCTCTGTTAGCATTGACCTGGTGAGTCAGCGAAAATTAGCATAACGTAGCCTGCTAACATATCGGCTTTTGCTTCTCCACTGTATGATATGTAGCCTTAAAATAGTTTGAATTTTGTTGAATGAGGTTATGAATGCTAGAATAGGAGATAATAGATATATTCTATGAATAGAATATTAATTTAATATGAATGTTTTAATGTTAATCTCGTTAGCGGCTAAGCTAATGCAGCTAAGCTAATGTGGCCAAGCTAGAACTAATGTTGATTTATTTGAACTGTATGTTGATTGATTGAGATGAGAAGGTAGCTGTTCTACACACATGTGTGCAGGCTGTTTTTTTTGTTGAGGGACAAAGTTCTCTCTGACGTCCTGGAGCGGAGTCAGTCCACCCGGAGCACCATCGCTGCGGTGGAATCCTCCCGTTTCTGTGGATCTATAAAAGTGGGTAGGACGTGGTAAAAATGTAAATCTGTATTTTATTATTAATGTGTGAGCACTCACACACGTTTGCCTATGCAAATGGTGATCATAACCAGCAGTGTATGGCTATGAGGAGTGTGTGTTCAAAATGATAAATGTTTGAGGGCTCCACCCAAAATGTAAAAAGGACATTGTTTGGGAAATTATTTTTTCATTGAGATCTCAGGGTTTTGTTTTACTTGGGCCTAATGTTGACACTGTATATATATATTGTAATTTTGTGATCTTGTGAAAATATTTTGTTGATCCATAACTGGATACTTTTTTATATACTTATTGTAATTACTCTGACTGATGTAGAATTACAAGACATTCTAATGTCATTTTCTTAAGTCCTTGTGGTGTGTGTGATTGTGCTGGCTGGGGGATCTCAAGTCTGTATTGAGTTCTGCTCTACCAATATTCCTACACAGCAGGACTAGGGTGTACGTGACTGCACTCGCAGAAAGTGGCTTTGTCCATTTCTCTGTAAACCACAGCCAGTCATTTGTGGACCCAGACACAGGAGCCCACACCCAAAACATTGAGCGTGCTTGGTCAACATACAAGTCCCAGGTCTGGAGACAGCGGGGAAACCGCACAGTGAAGACTCTGAGGAGTCATCTTTCTTTCACACATTGGCTGTCAAATGAACACAAAGATGGTCCCCTAGGCAGATTGCTGCATGACATACGCCACTTTCACAAGTTCTAGATATAAAAGCAATCTCGTTTTGGTATTACTGTCATTATAAATTCAGGTTGTTAATATGTTCCTCATTGTTACGACCCGCCTCCCTACTCAATAGTAGTGGCTCGTGAGGCAGTCCGCAACATAAAACAAAAGTACACAACACATAGGCACTAAACTGTAATCGTACATTTATTGCCACAATACTTTATCATTCCACTGGAGGACAGGTAAAACAAACAAACAGACGGAGGGGACTTGGGCCAACCACACCACGGGCCGTAGGATCCAGAGCCTTCCTCCGCTACCCAAAATCCAACAGACCTAACGGGAGAAATAAAGCCGCCAAAACCTAACTTTAACACGTCCTCCAGGAAACACCACAAAAAGGCAAAAGAGCTCTGACACAGCAGAGACATCCGGAGTAGTGATCGGCTCCTCCTTCTCCTTCAGCCTCCTCTTTTATGTTCGGCTGATTGGCAACTGGGAACACCTGGGCCAAGCTCGGCTGAGTGACAACTGGGAACACCTGGGGAAGGCGGAGCCAGGTGTACCTGCACAGCAGAGAGAACAAAGAGGACAACAAAAAGGGGGGGAGTACGTAACACTCATTTATATCAAATGTTTTCATAACATTTAGATTGTTGTTTAAATTAAATTGTAAACTTGAGTGGCTGTAGATCCGTCATTGTCATCAACAGTGTTTGTTTGTTAAACTGCTTAACTGATGGTAAGATAATGGTGAAGAAATGATTAGTTAATGGGTACTAACTACTGTTTTCATGCATTACAGACACATGCATTTCCTAACATTCGGTCTATATGCTGTAAAATGTATTATCTCTTGGATTTACACACGGCATCTATTGCACGTCTGTCCGTCCTGGGAGAGGGATCCCTCCTCTGTTGCTCTCCCTGAGGTTTCTCCCATGTTCCCTTTAAACTGTGGGTTTTCTTCGGAAGTTTTTCCTTGTACGATGTGAGGGTCTGAGGACAGAGGGTCTGAGGACAGAGGGTCTAAGGACAGAGGGTCTGAGGACAGAGGGTCTGAGGACAGAGGGTCTGAGGACAGAGGGTCTAAGGACAGAGGGTCTAAGGACAGAGGGTCTAAGGACAGAGGGTCTAAGGACAGGGTGCAACCTGTTCCTGTTTTGTTTTCTTCAGCCTATGTATCTGTATGATTATTATTACTTTTTGTTGTGTTACTTCCCATTGTAAAGCGTCCTTGGGTTTTATAAATTGAAATTATTATTATTATTATTATTATTATTGTCATACTGATATTCTGTACAAACTGTGAAGTCCACTGAGACAAATCTCTAAACAGTAACAAAGGTCCTGTCAGTGCTATAAGACGCATCACTAGCAAGCTACCAGTCAGAGATCTGAGTGGGAAATATTAGGCCTGAAAGAAAGTCTGAAGAGACGTAAACATCAGATCAGTTCATCAGCACAACTCTCAACATCCATATCAATAATATCATCAGAACATGAACATAACCAAGAACCATCATTATTCTTATTTTACTCACTGTGCTTTTACTCTGTGTTTATGTTTTATGTTATAAATATATATTTGAATAATTTCTCGACTGTTATTTTTTACTAAATGTTATGACAATTAACAGGGATGTAACGATATA